ATCGGGCTTTTTCGAGTGATAAAACATGCGATCAGGTCAATTAACTACTAATTCGTAATTATAATAGTTTTTACGTGACTACACATCTTATTTTGAATAATATACATGTTTTGAGAAACAAAGAAGCACAATTCCTTGTATTTAACCATTAAATTCAGTGTTTGTTATTGTCCGGGCTTTTTCGAGAGGAACTGTGAAACCGTCCGGGTTTTTAAACAAATGGTCCGGTTTTTTTAACGAAAATTTTAATAAGAAAAAAGTTATTTCTGACTTTAAAAAATGACTTTTCTAGTATATAAATGTAATTTAATGAATGAAAATATCATATATTATCAATAAATCACCAAAACATATTACTACGTTGATCAAAATTAACCTTTTTCAATTTAATGCAAGTTTTACCACAACGTTCCAGTATTAAATTAGAAATTATTGGATCCTTTATAAAAAGGTCGTAAGAACATAGTGCAGGAGACTCATAATCTTTTCAACTTCATTTTATGGTATTTCTGTTGTCACAGTTAATAATATTTTTCGTGGTGAACCCCAGAGTTTTTATACGGTAAGTATTATGGTATACCGTTGTCCGTCCGTCGTCAGCATGTCGGACAAAACTCGAAAACGCTGTAACCAATTTACATGAAACTTCGTTGAATTTTTTTTATCTATTGAGGTATCCTCCCTTTCGAACTTTATAAATTTTAGATTTTACGTTTTCGAGTTATAGGATTTTATTAAACAAACTAAAGGCTCTAAAGAGCCTGTGTCGCTCACCTTGGTATATGTGCTGCAGTGCATAGCAACAATGGACACTCTTCTACATTAAAGGCAAGAATATAATTCATGACAAAATTCTCTGTTTTGGTGATGGTGACTTGTTTGTAGATCTTACTTTACTGAACATTCTTGCTGTTTACAGCTATCTCTATCTATAATAAACTTGTTCCATAAGTATTAGAGGAGAAGATTTCTGTAAAAAATGTTTGCGTTGCACATGATCCGCTATCCTTAACATTAAAATACAGTTATTATGCTGCTCAGATTGTGATCTGTTCAACAGCAATTAAAACTCTAGACGTATATATCTGAGCATCACGGGACGACACAATGTAAAAGTTAACGGACGACGACGGACAACGACGGACGCCAAGTGATGATAAAAGTTCACTTGACCCTTTAGGGCCAGGTGAGCTAAAAAGGGGTGATTTTACAGTTTTCGGACAATATTTTTAAAGTGCTTTGAGGAGTTGTCATGAAACTTTGGTGACTGCTTTATATAGATTAAGGTTACCTCCCTTTTAGTTTTTTTTTATAAATTTTTGATATGACATTGAGAAATTATTTATAGGTTTCATAACGAGTGATAATGGATATCGCTTGATATCAACTCGAGTTATTTAATTTCAATATAATATCAAATGATGCTCCGGCGAGTTTGATATCAAGCGTATCATGCGCCCATAGTGCAGCTGTTTATTAAAAAACTGAGTAAGAAACATACTGGACAGCAGAGAAGAATCAGAAAAATGCATTTGTTTTTGTTAGATGTATTTCTATTTGTATCCATCTGATGAGTTAAGCCTTTTCAACTGATTTTTATAGTTCGTTCTTATGTTGTACTGTTACACCACTGTCCCAGGTTAGGGGGATGGTTGGGATCTGTATTCTGTATGTATGGGCCTGTCCCAAGTCAGGAGCCTGTTATTCAGTGGTTGTCGTTTGTTGATGTGTACATATTTGTTTTTCGTTTATTTTTTTTACATAAATTAGGCCGTTAGCTTTCTCGTTTGAATTGTTTTACATTTGTCATTTCGAGGGCGTTAATAGCTGACTATGCGGTATGGGCTTTGCTCATTGTTGAAGGCCGTACGGTGAGCTATAGTTGTTAATTTTTGTGTCATTTGGTCTCTTGTGGAGAGTTGTCTCATTATCTTCTGTTTTTATATGTAATAAAAAATATTCTACTAAAAGACACTTTATCCGACCAGTTTTTATTCCCATTGACAATAACATCTGAATTAAATTTCATATATAGTTAACAATGAAATGAATAATTCATCAGCTTAATTCACTCTTTGTACGTACGTCTCAATCCAAATTGTCTATGCTTACATTAGATTGTTGACATCATGAATATATACTGTACATGTAATTTGTCAGATGTGACAAACAACAATATATACAGATGGCTGATACTTGTTTATAAAGTCTAAGTGTTAGAAATGAATTTAGTCTCAAAATATCGTTTTTCAATTCAACAACAAGAATTTTTGTAAAGTGTCTGTATATCTAAGGATATATGGATTCCATGTATGCATTTTCATCGACGTTTGCACTGGTAGTTGTATAAAAATGGCTTTATTCTGTTTTTTGGAATAAAAGCAATGTAAGGCTAAATTCAACTTTTTGAACGAAAAATAATGTCGGATTGATAATATCTTTTTATCTCAAATACTTACACACCTTGTATATACTTGTATATTAAACTGAAGCTTCTATATCACGTCTTTTTAGAAAGTAAGTCTGTTTGTTTACATTTTTGATCATATTCACTCGAAAAAAAATGGTCACACTCGAAAAAACCCGATCAAATCACTCGAAAAACCACGATCCTAGTTGGACACTATACCTACCGTGTATTGTGACAGTAAGATATAGAGAAACACAAAGTGATACCAGAGACATATGTCTCTGGTGATACATTGTGTGTGGTCTCTGACCACCTTATAACATGGCGTTATATGTAGTAATTTTTTCGAACTTGAATTGACGTATTGTGATGTACTTGTATAAGAAATTACCAACCTAATATGGTACGTTAGTAAAAAAACAAATAACGTACACTAAGGCTATCATGGAAACAAAATCATATTTCATAAAAATATGAAGTTGCCAAGGCAATTATTCAAAACTACATTGTGTACATGATTTTATATGAACAGTCCAAATCTTTGCTTTGCTTGCAAGAATTATCATCTGAAATTTTACTTTTCAAAGACTAAACTTAAATAGACATACCGAGACATATCAGGAAACCAAAGTTAACCATTTTGTTGCCCTGTTTGTTGATAATGTAAAATGTCGAAACAAGGTTGAGGTCAAATAGAATGATAAGAAGGTCTCTAAACTTTAAAATGAAGATTTTAACTTTGTCAGACTACGTAATGCATTTGGATATGCAATGTTTAAGGTAATACATACATGGAGAAGATTAAAACAAAATGAACAAAACAACAAATAACGAAAAGATTATAGTAAAGTAACAAATTACCAGGAGGACTATTTTTTCATTTATTACTCCAATAAATTTGATTTTTTTTTACCTATTGTGGTAATCAGAGAACGTATTTAGTCTCGTGTAAAAGTTTTTTTTCTTTTGTTTCCTATGGCAGGGTATTTCATGATATAGCGCGATGCGTTGCCTTTTTCTGACGTATTGAAGATAATTTTCTTTCGTGTCGGTCAGAATGTTACCAACGTCCACTTGGTAAGGAGTTATTAAGAGTTCGAAATCTACAAAAAGCTATTATGTTGCGATCATATAGTATAAAAAAAGTATTCTGAAAAAATAAAGTTTTCTTAATAAAATTCTATAATTGAAAACAACATTTGAGCTGCGTCGGATAGAAATCGACCTTATGCAAGTGCACGTTGACATGTACATGTGTAAGACTATGATTGATTATATAATATTCAAATACGAGATAAAAGATGAATTTTGAACTGCTTTGTAGGGTTCTTATGACAACTCAATTTCCAAACAGTTACAGGCTTTCCGAGGAGATTTTTTTCAACCCGAAATAGGTTTACAGATGTATTCGAATTCATTTGCATAAGGTCGATTCCTATCCGACGCAGCTCATTTTATAAATTTCGTGCATTCGAAGCACTTTTCTGTGTTAACCTTCATCAGGAAAGCTCAAACTCAAGTACGTGAAGACCAAGGATGCATGAATACGTAGAAACATTTGGAGCTAAATGACCAAAAGTGACCTCAAAATAATAGCCAAATTCAGCTAAGGTCAAATTTGCCTGAGTGAACTAGAACCTTAGTTTCGTAATTATTTTTCAACGAGAAATTTTAGACTAAATATATGTTATAAATCATGTCAGTACCGAATCACTGACTGCTGAGCTGATGATACCCTCGGGGACTAGAAGTCCACCTACAGTGGTATCGACTCAGTGCTACTAAATAAAACAACTCTTCATTACTTTCTTTTCTGGATTGACCTTCATCAGGAACGCTCAAGCCAAAACATCTGAACGCCAAGGATGTACAAATACGTCACAACGTTATGAGCTAAATGACCAAAAGTGGTCTCAAATGAATAGCCAAATTCTGCTAAGGTCAACTTTGCCTGAGGGAGTTGAAACCTTAGTTTCTTAGTAAAAAATATGATATAAAAATCATGTCAGAACCGAAGCACTGACTACTGAGCTGATGATAACCTCGGAGACTAGCAGTCCACCAACAGTGGTATCGACTCAGTGTTAGTAAATGATAATTTTGTGCGTCCGAAGCGCTTTTCTGTATTAACCTTCACCAGGAACGCTCAAGCCCAAACGTGTGAAACACAAGGATGTATGAATACGTAGCTACGTTAGAAGCTAATTGATAAAAAAAATGAGACAAATTCAGCTATGATCAACTCAAACTGAGAGAGATGGAATCTTAGTTTTTTAGTAAGTTCTTACTTTATTAACATTTTAGAAAACTACGTTGTTAATCATGTCAGTACCGAAGTACTGACTACTGAGCTGGTGATACCCTCCAGAACTAACAGTTCATCAGCAGTGGTATCGACTCCGTGCTAATAAATGAAAACAACACTTTATAAATTGTATGCATCCGAAGTGCCTTCTGGATTTACACCGGGAACGCTCGTGAGCCTACAACACAATTTTGTAAAAAAAAAAAACCCACAAAATGCTACGTTTACGTAAGTTGGAATAAAAATGACTAGATGAAATAGTACACGTGTTTTATTTCAGGCACATTTAACCGGAACAATAATTTATAACAGTAATAAATAATAACAACTATACAATAACAATAAGACTAGAACTATTGAGCTTGTTTGACTAAAAAAGGCGTTGTGGGCATCGTCTTCGTTCTCCGGAAGCCCACGATTTAGACTTTGATCTAAAATGGCGTACCTCTACAGTATAGTCTTCGTGTAACATTGGTATATAATTCCTTGGAAGACATAATTCCTGCAATAAAAATAAAGAATATGATGTACATGTGACCTGTATGACACAAGTGCAAGCTTCTGCTTAGTACTGACATGTATAGTTTATAATGATCTTACTTAATCTGGTAACTCGAATTCTTTTTTTGTGGGGAAAAAAGAACGGACAATACGTTGCATCCAAATAAAGAAAAAAATTATACTGATGCAACATATAAAATCCTTAATGCAATAAATTATTAACGTATAAAATTTGTAATTTCTAAAAGATAAAAAAAAAACATAATAAATGGATGACAGTATTTACCTTGCCGTTGTTGTAAAATTCTTTATAGCCACCATCAAGAATGTAGACTTCTGGGTAATATAAATGTGGATATCTTTCTCCGTTTAGGTGTCTATCGGTATTTCTGAGGAATCTACATCTGTAAAAAAAATATATAATATTTCACTTGTGCTACAACTACACCGTTAAACATTTCTATACTTTCTTATTTCTTTTTGATTGGACTACGATCAGCTCTTCGTTGACAAAAAAATTCAATGCTAAATGTCTTTGTTTTTATATAGCTTTGTCATTGTCATGGAGGTAGAGGTAACGGAGCCTGTTGCACAAATCTGCGCCAATTATACTCATATTAAGTAATATTGTCCATGGCCTATGCTCCCCAGAGGAGCCCAGGGCCTAAGTAAGTAAGTAAGAAATATCCGTAATCGTAATGTTAAAAATAAATGCCATTGCACTAAACATGTCATTGCTTACATTATTAAATGGAGGGAATTATTTCCGAATTATATAGAAACTAACAAAATGTTTTTTGTTTATGAATACAATGGAAATTTATCAGCTGCGGACTATAATTATGATAATTAACAATGTTCCAGTTAGTTAAAGTAACCACAATGTAAGCTATACTAAAAATATATTCTGTTTTAAAGAAAATTTGCATCCAGTATGTATTTTGTTTTCTTTTGATGTTTATTCTTACGAGGTTTTCTCCTTTATGCTTTGCATGACATTTCGTCGCAAAAATAAAACTTAGTTAAAATAGACAGGTCATCTTCACACACAGTATTATGTTATCGGTATAAAACCTAACAATAAGTTTCTTTATTTTCGATAGAGATCATAGTACATAAGTACTTACAACTTTGGTCCTCTTTCTGATGAAAATTCACAGTGGAAGATGAGAATCTGTGGTCTGTTTGATAACTGGGTGTTGAGAAACTCTGAGATCATTTCTCTGGTTGGCAAATTAATTGCTCCCTGAATAAAAATAAAGATGCATAATTCATAAATCAACTTATTTAGAATCAATATCTACTTTACGGGGACTACATAAGCTCTCCGTAAAGTCGGAATTTACTCTTCAATCAGCTGTTATGTTATGTTGCTAGAACTCTGTTTATTCGTACTATCTACCCCATACTTTTATTTGCATTGAATTGGGTTTAATTATTTTTTTTCCTTTTAAATTAATAAAATATATGAGTACGTAGTTCTACGTGTATGTGCACAAGGTTTCTTTGCGAGTGTTATTGAATTAAAATTTGAAAATATTACATACATAAGCCAGAGGCGGTTAAAGATTGAACTTTAGATAGTGTCAACTTCAAAGAGATAAAGTTGCTAACAAGTTTTGCTATGTTTTTTTTCCTTTTTCCTTGTCTATATCATAAATAATAATATTTATTTTAAACGTCTTTTTTTAGATTTTCAATTATGTAAAGTTGCATTACCTGTATGTGTCCCCCGTCATATTCAAAGGGGTACCGACAATCAATAACGCAATAACTGTTTACTATGTCGTCATATTTTCCTATCAATATATTTGTCATCTGGAAAAAAAAATGAAACAAAATTTTAAATAATATAAATTGTGAATATACCTTTTAGGCATATATTTTTGTGTGATTGTATGAGATTTAATTGGAAAAACTCATAAAAACACATTTAAGCATTGTTTTGTAGAAAGTACTCTGTACCTCTAAAAGATTTATGATGTAAGTATACATATGAAACATTCAAAAACATTAAATATAGAAAATGGAAATCGCCTGTGTTAAACTGAAATAACGTACATCATTTTTTGGCAAACGAGGCGCATTTCTTAATTTTTTTTTATACTAACGGCTCGGAGTCAAAAGTTTGGGAAGCCAAAGGCCAAATAAATAAAAATAGTTATGTTACCAAGAGGGATAAAATATCTATAGCAAACACCTTTCATGGTCATCTTTGTCATAGGGAGTGTATAACCTTAATCTTATGCACTCTCTTCTATGTGTTTGTGCGTGTTTCAACTTTAAAAGATAACTATGGAAAATGAATGCTTACTGTTTCTGTGGAGATGCTCTTGAGATCAGAATGTTTTCCCTTAACAGTTGGTAGTCTGTAATATCCTGTACCATCGGCAATTAAGTCGTCTCTGTCTAATGCTCTGTTAACTGTGGTGTATACATCTTCTGATGATACAAATTGTGGTTCATCCTGTCAATTTAAATTGAAAATAAAAATCTTTGGTCAAGAAACATTTGACTGTAATAGTGTTTCACATTTATGTTGATAATTGGTATTGATAGTTTTCTATCACCGATGACATTTGACCTTAACGTCCAATTTTTCAATGGTATTGTTGTGTTGCTTCATATCTGAATTTTATCATTATTTAAATATTCAAATATTCAAAATTCTGTAAATTGAAAACAAAAGTGTGATGAATGGACAACCTTTTCAGAAAGCTGCTTATATCGGTATGAATAATGCCGGTGCTTGAAAATCAACGAAGCTAACTATAACATTTCGTTTAGAAGTGAAATTTATTGTTTAAAAGTTTAAATTGAATTCAAAAGGTATTTTAAGGGAACTTACCCCAAAAGACAATGACTTTGTCAATGTTTTTCGTCCATCAAATACTTTTGGGCGTTTAAAGGTGTTGTCTTTAGCATCGTATTCTCTTGGTCTTTTTATTGATGATGTATTAGATTGACAGTATGTATCACTTTCGTGGAATAACTGTAAATAAAAGAAAAAAAAACATTTATATCCGAATGACAAGAAACATCTAGCTTCGAGTGTCAATATTGTAAAATAAAGCATTACTTTTAATAAGTTAAACTTATAGAAAAGAAAGGATACGGGGTATCCGTCCATTTTACAAAATCAGTACATGCACAGCAACAACAACAAAAAAACAACACAAAAAGCAAAGGAACAGTGGTTTTACTGCTGTTCTGCATCTCAAAATCACAGTGAGGCCTTCAACACTTTAAAACGGACTGGTTTACCTTGTGGTAATTTCCTTTAAATACTCTCTCAAAAACACAACTATATTTTGTAGTTTATATAAATCCTCAACTTACATTTCGAACATCAGAAATGCTTGGATTGTCATCAAAGTCGAACAGGGCTTGTGAAGTCAGAGGGTATAACTCATTATTCTGTAATATATTGATAATGACGTGAAATTGACAGAATAGACTTATATTTTGAAGGGAAACATACAAAATACAAATAAAACAAAATTAAGACTGTTTTCCAAACATTTAACTGTTACTGGTAATACAGTGATATCTCGTAAAGTTGTTGGAAATTAATATGCGTTAGCTGATTTATTGTGTCGGGCACTTTACTTAAAATAATCAGTGCACACTTTTACGTTGATATACAAACTTAAGCAATTTACATTTAAATGAAGACAATTAAATTATATTACTTTTCCTAATAGCAGAAGTCCATTACTTGGACTTCTCATAATAGTAATAACTTTTTGTTACAAACTCAGCGATTTCAACTATTTTTGACAATCATGGAATTTAGAATAAAAGCATGATATAAACTACATGTAAACAAGGTATGATAAAACGTGTTTTGTGTTGTTGACTATAGTCAAATGTCAGCATAGAAATCTCCTGGATTTTGTTTCTCAACTTTGTTTTAGAACGGCACATCACAATCTAAAATTTATTTATATGCTTAAAGAAGTAATGTCTCACCTGTTGTGAATCGCTGTCATATTCTTCAAAGTCCATGCCGAGGCCAGAATCATCATCATTAAAGGAAACACGGGTGGAGACCATTTCACTTAAATCCATTCTTTCAATTTTCTATACGACAAAAAAGGAAAAACTTAAATATATAAGAAAAAGGTAGGTCCGAACGCGCGCGCTTGTTGATGGTCCTATTATGAAGCTGTTATCCCATGTACTGTGTCATTTTAATTTGTGAAATTTTATTTGACAGCTTTTTAAAGTGAATTACAAGTTTGGTTCCTTCTTACAAACCGGTCCAGCAGGTCAACGACATGTGGATTGTCACCAATTGACATGGTCCGCGCGACACATGTTCTCACCAAATCTTATTTCTATTGTAATCGGGGATTTCAGTGATCTTATCAGTCCCACACAAGGACAATTTATTGTTTTATATTAGAATCTGTTCTGTTCCAATATAGTTGTAAATTAATCAAATATTAAAAGAAGTAACATTTTTATTAATTTAATGGTCGTGTCATAAATTTATATGCTTTTAATTAACTTGGAATAAGATAAAATCATCAAAATGATTTGTCCAAGACCTGCAAAATTAACAGGTATTTTTCCTTAATTAATCAATTTTCGAAACATTATAAATCTTTTTCTTTAATAAAGAAACGTCTAATGGTATAAGATACGATGTAAATTATTTATATACAATGGTAATTCTGCATTTTTCTAAATTCAATCTTACCTCTAGTCTATACTATGAACTTATATTCAAATGAAAACAACAAAAATCGCATTTATACAATTCCTTCGAATTATCTTGTAATTTTCACGCCTAAACCTGTGAATTATTTCTATTAACCAAAATTTATCTTAAAGTCATTTTGTCGCCAAAAGCGTCAGAGAACGATTTCATAAATCGTTAATTGAATTTAACACGAATTGGCATATTATCTGTAAGTGCAATATGGTCATACAAATTATTTATATATGCAATTAAAATTATTAAAAATGTCTCACCTACTATAAGTAAAATATATCAGATTTCACACCAATTTTCACCGAGTAGTCATATTTGACAGCATAAATGATATTTATTTTAATTGAGAGTAATTATCAAGTAAGATTGATGGAAAGCGTTAATTCATTTTCACAACTGATTCTCAATTAAATGATAAATATAGCTCTTAAAAGTTTGATATGAAATGGTTTTTCATCATTGCTTTCAGCAGATATTGTTTTGCCACTACTAAATTGGACTGTACCTTAAAAGCCAGCGTGTAATACCCAATATCCATTACGCAATAAACTGGCAAAAATATTTTTCAAGCTAAGCATTAAATTTTTGGTGCTTAAGAATTTATAAGAAATTTACAATAAATATAAGAAAGAAAACTTACAATGTGACTTTCCCTCAACAGATAAAACAAAATATTTTTTTTTTTCCAAGCAAGTAGTCCATATATCATACTTCCATAATTGGCACTAATTCGCTTGGATGTTGAGCTTACCATCAGATAATAATTCACATGGAAATGACAACACATTTTTCACGGTTTTATAAATTATTTATAGGAATACGATATTTAGTCAATGCCACTTTCCAAAGTTGATAACTGTGAGCAATTCATTAGTTAACAATAATTATAGTTATAGGTTTGTCACAATTAAGTAATTAATGATGACAAATGAGAGTGAGAGTGTTTAAGCTTGCTATTATCAGTTGTCTTTCCAACTGAACATTTCTTCACCTCCTTGGCAATTATCAGTTGTCTTTCGAGCTGAACCTTTCTTCACCTTCGTACGTCAGTTTCATTAAGCATACTTTTATTTATGCCCCCCCCCCCCCCACAAATAAATAAATAAGAAATGAAAGAAATAAATAAAAAATGAAAGAAATAAATAAAAAATGATGAAATACAAAGTTATTGATAACTTTGAGGAAATTTATGAATTTCAATTAGAGTTTCATTTGTATCAACAACATAAAAAGACAGAACTAAATGAAACCAACGTTTTTAAAATATTTTATAAGTTATGTTCTTCATCTTCATCTATCCAATTTAATTCAATCAATTGCATGCAATACGGTTATAAGTTCCACAAAAGTCGGAAATATCTTGCTGTATTAAGGACTATGTAACTATTCTCTGAATAGTTAAAGAGCTTAAAGCAAATGTAAAGATGTAGATAAAGTATATAAGCGCTGTTGTTGGCTTCGACTTGCGATAATTCCGAAGACTGAGATAATTTCAAAAAAGAAAATCATTTATAAAACTAGTAGTGTAGCTTCGTAAAAAGCTTTGTTTAATACGAATTGCAGTACTCTTATCACAACTTTCACTCCGGTGTTCTGTCAATCAGTTGTCTGGCATTTTTTAATCAGTGTTTTAAACTTATAGGGAAACATATCAATTGTAAGCAGCTACAAAAATACTTCATTGCTTTTCTCAATCTAAAAAAAGGCACTGTTATAAAGTATCAACGAAACAACAGATATCCTTTACTACCACAGGAGCCTGGTTTTCGAAAGTATCCTACGAGCATCACAGGTATGAATATCTTAGGACAGCTTTGATTTACAGTATATGACATATCATATCATAAGACTTGTCTTAGTCATACGATACTTTCGAAAACCAGGCTTTACCATTAAGAAAAGAAGTTTGTAAGACTCTTCTGAAAACAAAGTTACAGAGTTTCTGTTTCCGAAGTATTATCAAACCCCTCTTTAGTATGAATATAAAGAGATGTTGGTATATGTCAATTAGATAGCAACCCAACGAAAAGAAATTAGACGTGTTTCTGCATTATTTCATAAATCAAATGAGCTAGGAAAATATAAATAACTACAGTTGCGATCTGCATAATTATGATGTCCCCCTTAAACTATTTAGTTTTTTTTGTTGTGTATTCAGTTATCAAATACATTCTCAAATCGTAAAAAAAAACACCAATTATGTTAAATGTACATGCATGATTTCGTGCTTTCTCAAATGTTATATGTTACAACCCGTTTTTTAAATTTTGTATTTTGAAGAATAGATTAAATCTTTATCCACAAATTGCTTAATGAAATTAAGATCGACACTAATTGTCTTATCAATGTCACCATATAACAGAATTAATTTCTGCATGTAGCTTTTGACAAAAAGAAAGAAAAAAGTTTTACGTTATTCCATGTTTGCATTTAGTATGATAAAATTAAATTTTCAACGGTATTGTTTCATCAGTAAATTAAGGTTTAAAGATTAAAATAAAAATTTTCAAGGAGCATTAACCCATGACTGAGTTCATCATAATAATCATAACAAAAAATAGCATTAGTTATCTTGAGAAATAGTTGAGCTTAAATTTTTAACTCTTATCATAAAACATAAAAGGATTTATAATTTTTTTTACACAACTATGATCATTTTGAGTTATATTTAACAAAAAAGGTGTAATTCAAAGTGATAATAGGCATACATATTTATTTGTGTAACGTATTAAATAAATAGATATATGTAAGGGTTTAAGAAAGAGTATATAGAAATATCATAATCATAGAAATGACTGAACTTATATATACATCGTATTATCAGGACTTAAGATGAGTCATTTTAAAATAAAAAAAATGTAACATTGTAAACCTTTATTTTATTTCAGTACCCCCATCCTTTCCCCCTTACTCTTTCTCTATTCCTCGATCAGAAATGGTCTTGCCCCTGCTGTATCTATACACTATGACTTTTTTTTTCTCTTAACCCCCGTTCTTTTTCTTATTGAATCAGTATGAAATGTCAATCCGTGCAATTCTTGAATGCTTTCTTACATATGTTATTTTGTAATAAGAACGTCTGCATCCAGTTACATAATTGGTTTTAATTTGGTCTGTTATAATAGTTTATTTAAACCACAAGCATTGTGTACTCTTCAAATTATTATGCCGTGTAAGAGACAAATATAAGTATAATGTTTGGTAAATATTTTGTGGATTGGTATTGTCTTCATGTGTTTCGACTGAAATTGGAGATTTGCATGTGTTCATGTCCTATAAAGTATATTTGCAGTGAACCAAGGTGATGTCATAACTATTTGAACGGTCTGAATTATTGCATCTTCTTTACAAAGTGTTATAAAGCATCTTCGAAACTGTTAAAATCAAAGTACCTTATTTTTATGTTTATCAAAATGAAGGTGAAAAAATCTGGAAAACAGAATTTAATTAGCATGTTTTACTCACATGACTTAGATATTTGAAAACACTATTCAATCTTAAATAAAAGTGAGATCTTGAAATCAAAACGAAATAATTAATTAAACTGAAAGTAAGTTATAGTAATTTTAATATGACATGTTTGGCTTCTATAACATGCAGGGTAAAGAATAGTCTTTCATTCTTATTACGATTTATGGTAAGTTACTCTCATTTCAAACAGGTTTCAAGACCATTTGATATTTTCTTTTTATCATAGAACTTATTGGACACAAAACAAAACTGTCCTCAGTTAGGCCACAGTTATAGATTTTTGCGGATGGCTTACCAAGGTTAATGTGCTTTTTTTAATAAGCAATTACTTTTTTTCAAATGAAAATATTTTTTTGTTAATTTAAATTATTATGTATGTGGGAAAGTAGATATTTTCTCTTTGAAAAATGTTTGTACTTTCTACGAGGAAAAAAAACCACACTTCTACGGCTAGTGTCCTCAGTAGCTGCATCATGATTTAAAAAAAAATACCCCTTACCATGTTACGTAAGAACATTAAATTTCAATATCTAAAAAAGACTAATTAGCGTAAAATTACTCTATAGTTAAAACAACCATTGATTGCATAATAGAAGAGAGATTAAGATGCAAGCTGTCGGTAATAAACAAATAAAAACCTTATTAAATTTCCAAAACAAACAGAATCTCGTTCTATTCTTACAATCAGCTGCGCTTGTATATGCGCTTGGTATAACAATTGTGCACACGAAGGTGTCGGCTGGGATTATAGGGACGCGGGCTTGTGCCAACACGCCAAAAAATACAAACAAGTCAATCAAGTATTTAGTTTTCCACAGAAGTTGACCGATTACTACAATTATCAGGTTTAGTCATACCAAAAAATATCTGTCGACGGAAC